AAACAAACACAAAACATGGTTTAAAGGTTACAATTGCTCTACTGTGAAAATCAACAAATGAAAACTCATTTAAGGGATGAGAAGGTGCAGGTAGGAGAATCAGTGTTAGCCTCAACTACATAGTGAGTTTAGGGCCAGCCTGGGCTGCATGAGAGAGGGAGGGCAAAGGGAGAAGAAATAAATATTCTTCAGTGTACAAACTTAAAAAGAAAGAGAACGGAGCACCAACTACGTTATCTTTGACTCAGCATATTACAATGAGTTGTGGCATCCTTGTGTACAAACCAGTTAAAACTGGCTGGCTATGCGTCACAAGACTACATACCAGTGCCTAGAAGACCAAGGCAAGAGAATCAAGAGTGCAAGGTTACATGGCAAACCCAGTCTTATATGACCCCCAAAAAATTAAATGAAACCCCCAAAGAAATGAAACAGGTACAATGTATTCCCCTGAGGTGAGAAAAAGTTATTGAGATAGTTGTTATTGGCTGGCAGAAAATGTTCTTTATTTGAGTAGTGGTCTCATTTTCCATCATTTTGGGATCTCTCCCTCCCTCTCTCCACCCCTTCCTCCCTCTCCCCTTGCGTCTGTATGTGCATGTATGTGTGTGTAGAACATGTGTGGACTCTAGCAGGGTGAAACAGCTGTTTGCATACTCATGACTAAAGATTGTGTCCTCCTCGGTAGGGGAAGGCCATACTCTCTGTCCAAGCACACAGCTTCAAGAGGGCCATATAGGAGCAGGGAGGGAGGAAGTGTACATATATTTAGCTAGATTATCTGAATCAGCCCTAATAGTCAACGTGTCAACAGATGTCACAACCTATCTGTGTGCTGTGAGACACACTAGTAAAAGTATAAAATAGAAGCAGGGGATGTAGCTCAGCCTCGCTCTCAAATATTTCAAAGCATACTGTTTAAGCCTAAAATATGTATTCAATTAAGTTCTTATCTTACTCATAACTTTATAAATGGATAGCAATCTATATTTACTTGAATGACTCACTGAGATTAAATAAGAAAACTCACTGTATTAATAAATTGAATTTATGATTACTAGCCAGACATGGTGGTGATACCTAGATTCCCAGTACATGGGAAGAAGATGCAGGAAGATCAGGACTGCAAGCTTATCCTGGACTCACATAGCCCACACTGGCCTTAAACTTACTACATGGTCATATGATGGTCTTGAATTCTTAAACTTCCTATCTCCATCTCCCGAGTGCTGGGGTTACAGGTGTGTGCCCCCAGACTTGGCTTGTCAGTCCCCATTATTCACCTTCATCATGAGTCTTTATACTTGAATATATCAGCTTTTTTATTGCAAAATTCATTTTCTTTTTCCTTTTGTTTTTCATGACAGGGTTTCTCCGTGTAGCCCTGGCTGCCCAGGAACTCACTCTGTAGACCATGTTGGCCTAGAACTTACAGAGCTCCAACTGCCTTTGCCTCCAGGGTGCTGGCAAAATTCTTTTTGGCTAAATCACCAATGGCACATGAGACCCTTTCGGCTTGTTGTTGCCTACATCTTCATGAATAAATATAGTAACCTCAATAAAAATATTTTGTTCACTTGTCCTTCACCAATTTCTAGAATACTGTCTCATTTCAGGGGACTATCAACATCACACACCTTATCCATGTTCAACTGAAGGCCTGGAGATGTAGTTCAGGGGAGCCGCACTTGCCTAGTTTGTGCAAGGCCCTTGGTTCAAGTTTCAGTACTACACACCAAAATGTCAGTTGCATCACAGGTGAAGATAGTCATATGGATCAGGGCCACTGGTGAAAATATCTTAACAGCAGCGCATAGTGCCTCATACCTGTAACCCTAACACTTGCGAAGCTAAGACAGGTAGCTCGCTGTGAGTTCAAGGCCATCCTATACCACAAAGTGAGAAGGTGTCTCAAATAATAATAAACAAACAAAAGTAACAGCACAATCACTTCCTCACACCTACATACATCAGATTCCTATCATTCAATTATATTCAAAGGTAAAACGGGGTTCATTAATGTTTAAGGCAACTCTCTGTTTCATTGGCTGAAACATTTTAAACATGCTCTTAGCTTCATTTCATGATGGTACATCCGCATTGTTCAAAGTGCTACTAGGAACATCAACTTATTTAAAGCATTTACTTTAGATTTGAAACTTTTAACATGATTTTATTCCTATTTAAAAGCCTTCAAGTTTTTTTTTTTTTTTTGGTTTTTCGAGACAGGGTTTCTCTGTAGCTTTAGAGGCTGTCCTAGACCTAGCTCTGTAGATCAGGCTGGCCTCGAACTCACAGAGATCCACCTACCTCTGCCTCCCGAGTGCTGGGATTAAAGGCGTAAGCCACCACTGCCCGGCAAAACTTTTTTTTTCCGATTATTGATAAGCGATCGATAGCGATTTAGTATTGATCTATTGATGAATCGATCACTATTAGCGCCAAAGGGACTCGAACCCGGGTCCTCTGGCACAAGAGCGGTAGGCGCTCTTAGCCGCTGAGCCACCGCTCAAGCTGCTCTTCAAGATTTTTTAAAATGAAAATAATTGGTGGTTAAAAAATACAAAACACTCAGTAAACACCTGTAAACATGATTTTTTTTTTTGCAAAAAGTCCTAATGTATTAAAGCCTGTATTTAACCAAGTGAGGAACAATAGTCATGAGAATGAGCAAAAAAATTCACACAAATGAAAAAGGTGACATTTGTTGGCATTCTCTCCCTGACACACACTTTAATTAGAATGCAAAGTTGATCAGGGCTAATCAGGTTCAATATAAAATCACTGAAGCCCCAATTACTTATTATTTTCTTTTTATTCAGTTAGGTTTTATTTATCTCACTATTTCTCTTCCTACACCTTCTCAACAAATTAAACACCCAAAATACACAGTCCTTGGATCTGTGGTATAGTTAACTGCATTGATTTTCAAAATTGCTTTCATAGATGATGCTTCCTTCCTCAGCGGAGACTAGCAATTACTGAAAGTGTTATTTAAAACTAGTGTGGCCATTAAGAACCTAATTTTTTACAGTACTGGAGATCAGACACAGGTTCTCAAGCATGCTAGGCAAGTGTTTTACTATTGAGCTGCACTTCTAGATCTAAGCACACAATTCTAAAATGTATTTGCCTTGGTGGCTAATTGAATAATTATACTTCATTAGAACCTATACTTTTATGTGTTCAATAATTTCATTTTTTGTTCCCATAAGTAAATTCAGATCTCATGTCTTAAAACAAAATCAAGGTACTAGGAATGGAACTTGGTATAGAGTTACCCCCTAGCATGTGCAAAACCTGGGTTGTCTCCAGTCACACAAAATCAAATAAAATAAGCAAAACTCAAGGGGTAGCTGGAGAGTGTTGGAGCATGCCTGTAATCATAGCAACTGAGAGGTGGAGGCAGGAAGCATGAAGGCCACCCTGGGCTACCGGAGACCTTGCTTCAAACAAACAAGCTAAAAATTAAGGAGAAAAGTTTTCTATGTACTGATACCTTAGAGCTATATGACTGGATCTTCAGCATAGTTTTTATTTGGAAAAACATAAAGTATTACTGCAATAAATTTAAGAGCACAGGAATCAAGCATGCAAGCGCTATAGAAAAGCGGAATATTGGGAAACTGAAAAAAAATGGCAAATAGGAGATAGTCTGCATTCTACTATACAATTCGTTATTGATCTCACATTATTGATCTCTACTCCCCTCCCCCACCATATGGGAGAAAATCTTGAACTATATAAATCATTTAGCAGAAATCTACTAGAAGTAATTAGAGAGTTAGTATCAGAAAGTAATGGATGGTGAGGGCTTCTTTTAGCAGGTATGTTAGAATATGGTCTAACTAGCCTGGCAGTGGTGGCACACGCCTTTAATCCCAGCACTCAAGAGGCAGAAAGACCTCTGTGAGTTCAAGGCCAACCTAGTCTACCAGTTCCAGGACAGGCTCCAAAGCTACAGAGAAACCCTGTCTTGAAAAACCAAAAATAAATAAATAAATAAATAAACCTGTTCAAATGAATGTTTACTAATAATAATAGTGATAATGATAAACTAGAGAAGAGAATGGGGAACACATGTGGATATCAATTACAGACTTTAACATGCATGAGCAAGAGCTTGGCCTGTTACAAAGAAAACTCCTGTCCCCAAAAACCTCAAAAAGAAAGAAGGAGAAGGAGAAAGAAGATCCAGTCCCACTGCTATTTCCATCGAGAGTGCAAGTGTCTGGATTAGAAGGACAAGCTACTCATGTTATAGCATTCAAGAAACACTGCTTTATGTGCACAGAACACACAATCCATGATGCAAATAGTTAGCAGTTATAACTAGTCATAAAAACAGTTTCACGAGAGCAGTATGAGGAAAATCAACATATTCCTTCTATTTCTCTTTATACAAGTAAAGCACACTTTGTGAGGCATGCTTTTTATTAAAATTCTCTACCAACTGTAGTTTTGGGTTTGGTAATTTTGAGTCAGACTTTCATGTATCCCAGGCTTGCCTTGAATTTCCTATGTAGATGAGGTTTATCTTGAAGTACTGGGATCACGGGTGGACACTGCTCATGCTGGTTTATGTGGTTCAGGGTCTCGTGCTTGCTAGGCAAGCACTCTTCCAACTGAGCTACATTACCAGCCCAGTTTTTTTTGTGCGGTAGTGAGCATTGAACCTGAGGCCTCATGCACACTCACCATGTTCTTAGCCACTGAACTACATATAGTCCTAGATCCAAGTATGCATTTTTATGTTTCTCTAAACTTCTTAACCAAATGCCGATGCAACCCTCCTAAAAGTGTATCCATCAAACATTAAAAATACTCATGCCAGAGAAATGAACAAAAGTTGATAGCACCCATTTGTAATAGTACTTTGTAACTTTTAAATATAATAATGTATTGTATTTCAGAATATATCCAGTTGTCACAGGACACTTTAAAACAAAGTGAAAAGTGTCCAATAATCAGTTGTTTATAACTCCCATGTTAATACTCACTAAACATTTTGTTGACAGCTGGGAGGATTGAGGAGATTGTAAGATGGTAATACTTGCAAATTTTACTTGGCTGATCTTCAAGCTCCATTTTACCTATGACAAAACAGTAGGTCAGGACAGACATGTCTTATGTAATGTCATTTGAATTGTGAGAGTAATGCTTGTTCATTGCTATTGACTTGTCAAACACGAACATGTTAATAGAAAGGCAAATTTGACACCAGACATGGTGGCTCACACCAGAGGTTGCAGCACAAGCCATGTCATGATTTTCAGACCAGTGCGGGCTTCAGAGTGAGCTATTTCATTACTTAAAAAAAACAGCTGCCATTTTAATGGATAATGAAACTATGGTATATAACTAACACAATGTATTATTCAGCTGGAAGTAAAAGTGAAACCATGGTATCTTCATTAAAATAGATGGACTTGGGAAGTATGTTAAGCGAGGTGACTGAGACTCCAAACAAACAAACGAAAAGCATGTATTCTCCCTTATATATGTCTACTTGGCTATAAGGTACAGATGTGTACATCTGAGCAGGTGTAAGTGTGTATAAAGTATACTATCTAGAAAGAAGTCCAAGAACGGACACTATGAGGTGATGAGAAAGAATGGAGCCAGCAAACTCTGGGCGCATGACTTACGAAAGCAGATATAAAGCTAGATTCTAAAGTTGCCATGCCTTCGTAGTTTCTCTTTCTGTGGTAGATAGGGAATAAAAAGATAATTGGTAGTGAAAGCGTCAATCCTCGAGCACAGCACCAATTCTTCAGAATGGCCATTTTTGACTGTGTTTAAAGTTTGGGACTTGGCAAGTGTTTGAGTGCTGTGGTGGTTGGAAAGAAAATGGTCCCCTAGGGCATTGGCACTCTTTGGAGGTGTGGCCTTGTTGGAGGAAGAGTGTCACTGTGGGGGTGGGTTTGAGGTCTCTTTTTCTCAGGCTTCCCTCAATGTGACAGTCAGTTGATTTCCTGTTGCTAGCACATTTGCCTGCATGTTGCCCTGCTCCCTGTCATGATGACAATGGACTGAACCTCTGAAATTGTAATCCACCATCTCAAAAATGGTTTCTTTGTAAGAGCTGCTATGGTCATGGTGTCTCTTCACAGCAATAGAAACCCAAGCCAAGTGCTTTCCTTAAACTAGCTACATGATGTTGGTATTGTTTGGCTTTGTTTATTTTATATTGTGAGTTAATTAGAACAAAATGATTTATTTTTAAGAAAGTACCATGCTAGTATTAACCAAGAACTATAACATGACTATTTATTTTTTCATTCATTCATTCATTCATTTTGAGAGTGAGTTCACTCTGTAGCCCAATCTAGCCAGAACTCACTCTGTAGGCCAGGCAATCTTGGATTATAAACATGTGTCATTATACTTAGCTTAATTTTCTAAATATATATTATAACTAGATGAGTTCTCTTATAGCACAAAATGAACAGCATAAACATGTTTTAAAATACTGACCAGAAGCATTTGACTGGAAAGAATAACACTGCTAGACCGGGGGTCTAACTCTGTGGCAGGGCATTTGCCTAGTATAGGTGAAGCCCCATGTTTAATCCAATTTATACATAGGTAAAAGCAGAGCTGCTACAGTCATTACCTTGATGTAAGTATTAATTTTTGCAGTTTACATTCTTATAACAGTATTGTCCCATGAGAAAAACTGATCCTAGTGTCCATACCATCTCAAGTCGACTACATGGGAATGATAAATCATTAAGGCTACCACTTCAAAATGTCCCAAGAAGGGCTAGACGTATTGTGCAGGGTAGAGTATTTGCCTAGCATTCGAAAGGCCCTGGATTCAATTCTCAGCAACACAACAAAAGTGCCCGTGAGCTAGAGATTCAATAGACCCTCTTACCATGAACCCACAGCTCCTTCAGCACTAAAGAACTGCCTCATCCTGTTCCTTGCTAGACAATGCTTATACTGCTATAGAAGAATGACCCGTTTCTCCCTTTTAACTTAACTGTGAAACATGGAAAACAAAAATGCATTCCTCATAAAAAGAAAATGTGAAATATGCTTTTGTAATCCTAGCATTAGTTTAAAAGTAGTATTTTACAGCAGTCTAGTTTCTTCAAATTTCTTGGACTTGCCAATTGAAGCCTTGTCTGCTCTTGATTACCCTCGGGGAATGAATTGCTGCTTATCACACACACTTGAGAGACCAATCTTAATCTCCTGCTCTTGTACTTTCCAACGTCCTCATTCTTTTTAACAGTTTCCCCAACCAGAGCCTTCTTTTTGATTTTTATATCATCTTTCCTTGTATTTCATTTATCTTGAAGGGCTCCAAATCAGACAGAGGTTGTTTCCTAGTTAAATATTAATATTTCAAAATACACTAATGAGATTAGATTTCAACTTACCTGCTTGAGTTTGATCACCAATGACCAAATTAATTTTGATCAGATTTGTATAGCACGTGCCTGAGAGAGTCTGACTTAACATACACACTATATATATGCAGGGTTCACTTTGGAATTTACTTAGGGATACACAAATAAATAAGACAGTTGTCTGCTAGAGCAGCAAACCCAAACAAGTTTATGAAGTGCTGAGTATTGAACCCAGAGCCTCATGCATGATAGGCCAGGGTTCTACAGCTCAATGGTACTGCTAGACCCTAAGGAAAATTGTAATCTCATAAAATTCTAAGAAAAAGTCACCATGTAATAAAATATTTTGTGTGTAACTAACTTTCAAAGAATTCTTAGACTGTTGGCATATTTGAATATTTCTCTCTTTTTGAGAAAATATCTCATTCAGTAGCCAAGGGTGGCGTCAAATTTGTTATCTAGCTGAGGATGACCTTGAAATCCACACCCTCCTGCTTCTACCTCCAAAAGGCTGAGGTTATAGGCATACAGGCACCATGCACAGCCAGATTTTACCTAGTCTTGTTCTTAGAATATAAAAAGCACATCTGAGTTGGGTACATTGTCAGGAAGAATGTCATTAACTATTCTAAAATACATAAACCATTGTGATATATGCCAACCTTCTCCCTATATTTTTCTTCTCTTTCTTTACCTTAATTGATTTTCACAAGCACAATGTTCATTTCCTTCCTATTTACCCTTTCTCCCATCAACAGTAGTTAAACTTTGTATAAACATGTAGTTCAGTAGTTGTATTTACAAAAGAAGAACATAGCTTAGCGAGATTAACACTGGAAAGTGTGCTGTGTGCTGAGCTGAATATTTAATTACATTCTCCAATTCACAATTATGGAGAAGTCTACAATTTTCAATATGCCTTTAAATATATTTCTGTTGGGAAAAATGAAAGACCTCTAGTGACTTATCAAACATATTTTAAAAATAAATGCTTTGCAAACAATTTTTGAAGGTTAGAGCAATGCTCGGCATTTAAGAGCACGCCATGCACTCGCGGAGGGTCAGAGCTCAGTTCTGGCACCATGCCAGGCCACTCACGAGCACCTGTGACTCCAGCTCCATGGACCTGGTATTCTCTTCTTGCCTCTGAGGACAGCGGTCACAGGCATATACTTCCACACAGATACATACACAGAAGGAGAGGGAGAGGTAGAAAGTATGTAAATATAGTCCTCTCAGGGATGAACTTCCAAAAAATTAAACATTTAAAATTTAAAAAAGTTTGTAGTCAGGTTTGGTGGCAAACACTTTTAATTCCAGCATTTGGGAGGCAATGGCAGGTGGATCTCAGTCGGAAGCCAGCCTGGTCTCCATACTAAATTCCAGGCCAGCCAGAGCTACACAGTGAGACTATGGTCTAAAAGAATAAAAACAATAACAATAACCAAGTTAAAAGAAAAAAATTTAAATAACATTTGATATTAGCTAATTTTACAAAATAATTCAAAGTTATATTTATTTCTACCAGAATGTAAAGGTACCTTTCCTTTTTGATGTTTCCAGAATACTTGGTCTAACAGTTCTAATGGTCCTGTGAATTCCAAAATAAAGTCATCATGATTATTACAAGAAAACTTTTAAGCAAAATCAATTGTGATTTCATTATAAACATTTAAGTCTATGTACTAATGAGAACTCTGTATACTATATAATATCACATCACAGCATTGCCCTTCTCTAAATATTAATATGAAATAAGATTAAAAATCAAAGTTCTTGCAGTGCTGGGGATGGAACCCATGACCTCTTGCACGCTAGTCAAGCACTGTGGAGCACTGCCACTAAACTGAAGAGCCCCAGAGATATTTTCTTTCAAGTATTTTAGAAAGCTGAGGATGTCAGTCAGTTGCCAGAGTGTTTTAGCCAGATGTTAGAGGCTCTGGGTATAGGCCCCAGCACTGTGTAGACTAGATATGATGTGGCGCACCTGTAATTCCAGTACTTAGGAGGTGGAGGCTGAAAGATCAAAAATGTAAGGTTATCCCCTGCTACAAATTAAGTTTGAGGATAGCCTGGACTACATGAGATCGTTTTTATGTAAACAAATAAAGTGCTATAGATACTTATGAATAAGTTCGAACTTGGTCAGAGAAAAATTATGGTCAAAGCAGGGTTAGCGGTTTGCCGAATTCACCACTTGGTCACTGGATTTTTATTTTCGGTATATAAAATGATAAATTAAAACAAATGATATTTTAGTTTCACTAAAACAAAGTAACTTCATTTTTACAGAACTTGAAACTCTACTTTCCTTTAAGCTACCGGAATACTAACTTGGGGGCCTGAGATAAGTTCAGAGATAGAGCGCTTGTCCTGCACGCATGAGACCCCGAGTTTTATGCCCAGCATTGTAAAAGAAATTTATTTTACAAGCAATTTAGTATTTTCAGACAACATGAACTTAAATAGAAATATTGTCACTTAGTCTGATAGGGCAAGCCTACAATCCTTGTTATTCAGGAGCCAAACCAGGAGGATGGCAAATTCAAGGTCAATCTGACAGACACAGTGAGTTCAAGGCTACAGGGGGGGGCAATTTATCAACAGCCTGTCTCAAACGGTAAAATGAAGGCCAAGGATATAGTTTATTGGTAGATTGTTGGACTAGTATGCACAAGACACTGAGTTCCAGCTTTAAAAAAAAAGGAAAAGAAAGAAGGAAGGAAGGAAGGAAGGAAGGAAGGAAGGAAGGAAGGAAGAATTTAAAAGAAAGAAGAAAAAAGAAAATGGTCACATATGAGTTACCATGGTGTTTCACACCTGCAATCCCAGTACTTGGCCCGAGACAGGAAAATCATCACAAGTCCAAATCTGACCTGAGCTAGGGAGAAAGACCTTGTCTGATCAAACAAAACAAAATAGAAGCAATAACAAAAAAAAAAAGCTGAAACCATCTCATGGACCTGTGAATAAGGCTTGAAGGCAAACCACTGCAATTCACACACATTTGCAAGGATGGAGAAAAATCCCTGTTAAAACCAAATTTGAATAGAGAGTTTAAAATCACTACTATTCTCAGTGGCTTTCTAGGGTATGCTGGGATGATGGGAGAAGGCTGAGTAGAAAACATCACAAGGGAAGTAGCATGAGGACCACTATCTTTACTATGACTGTAATTATAGAATTGTATGTGATTCCAAAATTCATTCAACTATATATTTAAAAGCAGATGAATTTAGTTGGGAGCAAATAACATGTTTAAGAAATGAAAAAGAGGGTAAAATATTTCACAGGTCACTTTATGTTTGTGTTTAAAATAGTCTCACTATGTAACCCAAGCTGGCCTCATACTTGAGATCTTCCTACATCAGTCTTCTGAGTACTGAGACTACAGGCATGCTTGACAGGAAAATGATCCCACAGAATCGGTTATATACAGTCATATATATTCCCCTAAAGACTTGAGTGGGTGACCATTAGTATCCATTAACATTTCAAGGGACATAGGCTTTTAAGCACTCTTTTCTTACCTTCCCAGGTTCCTTGGTGAAAGAAGTCACTGGAGAGATTGACATTTGTTTGATGCTCCTTATAACAGATGGCTGCATGGTGGCGGTGTTATTCTGTGTAAAGAAGAAGTGTACAATTGCAGCACCAGCCACATGCTATTCAAGCCCTTGGGAGAAATGCCTGTTGATGAGTAGGGGCGTACTTAGTACAGGATCACAGTGCTACAGTGAGGGGCTCTTAGTACAAAATCAGTGGGGAACCCAAGAATCATGTCGATAAAGTAAGAGCACTCTTGATCTTTTGGAGGAGAAAACCACTTGGTCATTAAGGTGTTTACTTAGTCCCCCAAAAAAGCATTGTGAACACTCAATATTGAACAACATATACAATATACTCAGGCCCTAAAACTAATGTTTTCCTTATGGTTGGACCTGAAAACTATAAACGAACATACATATTTGTGCCTGATATTTCATTTGTATCGTAATTCTCACTAAATTGTTTTTGGTTCTTTCCTGCATAGTGTTACTCCCATATTTCGGGATTTTAAAATTCATTCTTTTCCAAAACTGGAATCAAGTTAAACTTGTATAGTATGTTTCTCTTCCAATTCCCAAAGCTCAGGTTCTCTTATTCACTCATGCCAACACTTAAAGTAATTAGAATCTGCTCAGTTAAGGAACTCCAATAGCATTTACAAACTGAAGCCCAAAGAAGGGCAAGACTCCAGAGGTTGTTTCCTCAGCTCCTCAGCACTCACCTAGCCAGTGACTTCAAAAGCTACTCTCAAATGAGTACCAGGTGCCCATCTGAGGCATCTTTCAAAGGAAAAGATTTCCTCATCTACTGACTTCTAAGTCTGGAAATTGACATTAACCAGACTCTCCTACTTGAATTTCAGCTCAACTCTTGCTTTGTCATGGATGTTCACAGAAAAGAAGAGTAAAAGTCATGCAACAAACACAACTAAAGACTGTTTGTTCAAACTGTTAGTGGAGATATTATAAATTATTGAAATAAAGGTCATATTAGCCCAGTAAACACACTCCTTAACACTCTAATCTAGAGACAACGCCTGCACTGATTAGACCAAGGGGTGAGTGGCTGGCCTCCCAGCTAGACAGACCAGTCTCTACGCCCTAGGCCCCAAAGCACACCCCCCACACCCCTCCCCCACCCATTGCAGCCACACTAGTCAGTCAGCAGGAAAGGCTCCTATGAGCTAGCTTCTCCACCACCACCCCCATCACTCCACCTCCCAAAACCCACCCATCACCTGTGAACTCAGCAACTGCCTGAGACTCACACTGCCTGTACTAATAGGACCAAGAGGCACAGACACTCCTGCACTGACTGGAGGAAAAGATGGGTAGACACCAGTGCAAGAATATAATCAACAACCTAAAGAGTAATATGTCAGCACCAGAATCTAGAAGTTTCACAACAGCAAGACCTGAAAAATCTCAGCATAGAAGAAGCAGAAGAAAATAACCTTACAAGTAACTTTGTGAAGATGATAGAGACCTTTAAAGAGGAAATGAAAAATTCCCTTAAAGAAATCAAGAAAAAGACAAACTGGAAGAAATCAACAAATCTCTTAAAGAAAGCAAATAAAACCAAGAAAAAGCAATCAGACAAGCAAAGGAAAGAGTTCAAGACTTGAAAATTGAAATAGAGGCAATAAAGAAAATACAAACTGGGGAAATTCTGGAAATGAAAAATCTGGGAAACAATCTGGAACTACAGAAGCAAGCATAACCAACAGAATGTAAGGGAAGGATGAGAGAATCTCAGGAGTTAAAGATACTATAGAGGAAATAGATTCATTGGTCAATGAAAACATTAAAGCCAACGAAGTCATAACACAAAGCATCCAGGAAAACTGGAACGCCATGAAAGGACCAAACCTAGGAATAATAGGAATAGAAGAAGGAGAAGAATCCCAGCTCAATGGCACAGAAAATGTATTCAACAAAATCAAAGAAGAAAACTTTCCCAACTTAAAGAAAAAAATGCCTATGAAAGTACAAGAAGCTTACAGAACACCAAATAGACAGGACCAAAACAAAAGGTCCCCTTGCCACATAATAATCAAGACACTAAATGTAAAGAAAAAATGTTAAGAGCTGCAAAGGAAAAAGGCCAAATAACATATAAAGGCAGACCTCTCAGAATTATGCCTGACTTCTCAATGGAAACAATGAAAGCCAGAAGGTCCTGGACAGATATGATGCAAACTCTAAGAGACCATGGATGCCAGCCCAGACTACTATACCCAGCAAAACTTTCAGTCACTATATATGAAGAAAACAAGATATTCCATGACAAACTCAGATTTAAACAATACCTGTCTACAAATCCAGTCCTACAGAAAGCACTAGAAGGAAAACTGCAACCCAAAGAAGTTAACAGCATCCATAAAAGCACAGGCAATAGACAATTCACACCAACAGATTCCAAAGAAGGGAAACACACATTACCACCAAAATATAGTAGGAATTGACAATAACTGGTCATTAATATATATTAATATCAATGGACTGAATTTGCTTATAAAAAGACACAGGCTAACAGAATGGATATGAAAACAGGATTCATACTTCTACTGCATATAAGAAACATGCCTCAACCTCAAAGACAGACATTACCTCAGAGTAAAGGGTTAGGTAAAGTCTTTCCAACCAAATGGACCTAAGATGCAAACTGGTGTAGCTATCCTAATATCTAACAAAATAGACTTCAAATTAAGGGTAATCAAAAGAGGTGAAGAAGGACATTTCATATTCATCACAAGAAAAATCTTTTAAGATGAAGTCTCAATTCTCAACATCTATGTTCCAAATATAAGGACACCCACATATGTGAAAGAAACAATACTAAAGTTTAAATCATACATCAAGCCCCAAACACCATCTTACAACTGTCAGAATGGCTAAGATCAAAATCACTTAGGACAGCTTATGTTGGAGAGGATGTGGAGTAAGGGGAACGCTCATCCATTGCTGGTGGGAGTGCTAACTTGTACAACCACTTTGTAAATGAGTATGGCAGTTTCTCAGAAAATTTGTTATCAATCTACCTCAAGACCTAGTGATATGACTCTTGGGCATATACCCAAAGGATACTCAATCATACCCAAGGACATTTTCTCAACAATGTTCATAGCAGCATTATTCATAATATTCAGAACCCGAAAACAACCTAGATGCCCCTTAACTGAAGAATGGCTAAATAAAATGTGGCACATTTACACAATCAAGTATTACTCAGCAGTAGAAAACAATGACATCATGAAATTTGCAAGCAAATGAATGGAACTAGAAAAAAATCATCCTGAGTGAGGTAACCCAGACCCAGAAACACAAACACGATATGTACTCACTCATAAACAAAGGAAAACCAGACTATAAACCACAGCTCCAGAGAAGCTAGGTAACAAGGAGAACCCTAAGAGAGATACATAGATCACCCTGGGAAGGGGAATTAGATGAGATCTCCTGGGTAAACTGGGGATGAGGGGGGCAGTAGATGGGAGGCGATAGGAGAATAAGAACATGAGGGAACAGGAATGGAATGGTCAAGTTAGGGGAGGGGTGGAGTGGGAGAGCAATGAAAGAGAGACCTTGATTGAGAGATCTACTATCAGGTCAGGGAGAAACCTGGTGCTAGGGGAATTCCCAGGGATCCACAAGGATGACCCCAGCGATGACTCCTAGCAACAGTGAAAGGGTGCCTGAACTGGCCTTCCCCTGTAATCAGATTGGTGACTACCCCAACTGTCATCATAGAGCCTTCATCCAGTAACTGATGGAACCAGATGCATAGATCTACAGTCAAGCACCAGCCTGAACTCTGGAAATCCACTTGAAGAGAGGGAGGAGGGAATATATGAGTAGGGGCGGTCAGGATCATGATGGGGAAATCTACAGAGACACCTGAACTAAGCTTGTGGGAACTCATGAACTCTAGACCAACAGCTGTGGAGCCTGCATGGGACTGAACTAGGCCCTCCCTATGTGGGAGACAGTTAAGTAGCTTGGTCTATTTGGGGGACCCCTAGGATTGGGACCAGGATCTATCCCTGGTGCATGAGCTGGCTTTTTGGAGTCCATTCCCTATAATGAGATGCCTTGCTCAGCCTTGATGCAGAGGAAAGGGGCTTAGTCCTGCCTGCACTTAATGCGTTGGACTTTGTTGACTCCCCGTGGGAGGCCTTACTCTTTGGGAGGAGTGAATGGGGAGTGGGATTGGTGGGGAGGTGAGGGGGGACAGGAGGAGGGATGGGAGGGAGAACTGCGGTTGAAATATAAAATGAATAAAGAATAAAAATTTAAAATCAACCAACCAAAAAATAATGCATGTACCCACACGTACACATGGAGCCCAAGGTCAAAGTCAGATGTTTTCTTCAATTACTTTCAACATTATTTTTGAGACAGGGTCTCTCATAAATCTGGAGTTCACAAATTCATTTAGACTGACTGGCTAGCAAACTTTAAGAAACTTCCTGTCTTTGTTCTCAACCCCTGCCAGGGCTGATATTATAGGCACACACTACTATGCCTGAGTTTTTTTAACATGGGCACGGGGAATCAAACTCTGGCTCTCATGCTTGTATGGCAAACACGTAACCAATTAAGCCAAGTCCTTAGTCCTCAACCTTTTGTTAAAGACAGGGTCTCATGTAGCCACACTGGCTTCATTGTAGTCAAGGATGACCTTGAACTTCTGATCCTCTTCTAACTACCCAGTGCTGGCAACAACTGGACTTTTCTTGAGTTAATCAGTAAAGAGAGGAAGCCGGTCCATTGGTCCATAACAGAGTCAACCTCAGTAAGTATCTCTATCTTTCTCCGTGTTTCTCTCAATGTCTCCCTCCTCACTGTGTCTCCGTCTCTCTGTGTGTCTCTCTGTTTCTGTGTCTCTGTGTCTCTCTCTTTGCTTCTCTGTTTTCTTCCTCTGTCTGTCTGTGTCTCTATCTCCCGTCCCCATCCCCTCTATATTGTCCAGGCTGACCTGGCATTTCTAGAGTCAAAGCAACCTCCTGTCTCTGCTTTTCCAATATGGTACCTGTAGAGAGATTTCACAACTCCCAGGTACATCTACAGTTTGGGGTCAGAAACTATTTCAGCATCTCTTTCAGATAATTTTATTTATTTTTATGGGTAAAACCATACAATATTTCTTTTGAAGGATCATTTTGCAATTGTTGTGCATATGTGTGGACCTGAGTGAGTTTCTGTGCATCACATATGTACAGGAACCCACAGGGGTCAGAAGGGGTAGAAGATCTGCTGGCACTGGGGTTACAGGAGATTGTGAGCTGCCATGTGGATATGGTTGACACAACACTATGTTAGTGAAAATAGAAATTTTCTACAAAATTAAAATGTGAATACTGTACCAGATTTATGCTTGCTTCCCAACTCTGACTTATCTGTATTGCAGTATGCACTTCCCTGCAGAAGAAAAGAAATTATTAGTGTTGTAGTCGGCCCATCTGAAGGAGAAGATACAACCGCACATACAGATAATCAAAATAGTAACTCAAAGTATGACACTCACCGTTCATGCATTGCTTCTCTGCTTGCTATATCCATCTTTTCTTCCTGGAAGGTAAGGAAATAAGAATAAACCGAGGGACCAACTCCCACTGTTCTACTAAATTTCATTGAGGTTGAGAGTCTCAAATTTCACTAAGATGTACTTCATTGCTATTCACTAGGCTATGGAATAGTGACATTGCTTCATTATAAACAAATCTCTCTACAAGTAGCTGGCTCTCTACTCTGTTATCCTGCAAATTACCACAGCAGTGGTCCATTACTTCTGCATTCCAACATATCAAATGCACAGAAACTGACTGGATGAGAAACTGTACCTGTCAGGAGCCAAGGGAGAGAACATGAAGATTCACAACCCATGCTTTTCTCTGCTAGTAGTACTATGATGGTTTTAGTCTATAGCACACCAAATGTCTATCAGTATGGATTTAAGTAAATGATAGGAGTTAAAGATGATTTGAATCAAACCATTGAAGTTCAAAATATGTATTATAGAAGTGGTGACATGGCTTGGTGGGTAAAGGTACTTGCCATCAATCATGATGACCTGGTTCTATTCTATTCTATTCTATTCTATTCTATTCTATTCTATTCTATTCTATTC